CCTCTATAAGTAACACGTTAGTAATAGGGACCAAACGGCGATTTAAAGTGAAGGAGGTGGCATTTAAATAAAGAAAAGATAAATTTGCACACCGATATAGGAATGTTGATGGAGAGTAGACGTGTAACAAGAAGAGGAATGTTAACAGAATAAAATGCACCACGAACGTCAACAAAGACGGCTGTTGTAAATTGGCGGTTACAAAACGAATGGTACACGGGACCAACAAGAGATGATAGGCATTCCATTGTGCCCAGTCCACGTCGAAAACCAAACATGTTAGGAGATAGTAGAGAGTTGGATTCAAGATACCAATCCAAGCGAGTTTTTAGTATAAACTCTGTTAATTTGCAGAAGGCAGATGAAAGGGCAATTGGACGGTATGCGTTAGTAGCAGCACCACTTTTAGGGATAGGAATTACTTTGAAGTGTTGGATTGTGTTGGATTTTGATTTTTGGTATGTTATATAGTCATGAAGAGAACCTGAGGATCTGTATTTTTTGAAATGAAAGGAGCGCATTTTAACTGCAGTGGTGCAGGTTGAGTTCCACCAAGGAGGAGAATAGCTAAAACTTATATTGTTCGAACGCTTACGCGGGGTTGAAAGTTTTGCTGCTTTTATTAGGATATCAACAAAAATGTTATAATTTGTTGTAGGGGAGGTGGATTCAGACCAAGATTCGAGTAAGGTAGAGACAATTAGGGAGAAAGAAGTCCTATCTGCTAAGTCTAAATTAAACCTTAAGTTATCTGAAACATTGGAGGAAGAGTCACAGTTCAGGCGACCCATACTCTGAGTGGGCTGTATAGAAAGACTTGTTACAATAGGATAGTAGTCGCTACCGTGAGGATCACCCAAAACGTACCAAGAAGAGGACAAGGAAATATTAGGGGAGCATATTGTTAGGTCAACAGCAGTATCCGGGAACGGTGGCCGGTTAGCTCTAGTTGGAGCAACTGTGTTCAGAATACATAAATTATGCTGACTGATGGTTGAGTGAATAATATTGCCTCTATAATTGGAGTTTAGTGAACCCCAGGTAAAATTATGACCATTAAAATCTTCTGCAATAATGGAGTTATTGGAGAGTAGTTTAAAAATTTCAGAAACTATTAGAATAGAGGGATTAGATGAAGGAGGAATGTAAATAGACCATAGTTGAAAGGTGTTATTGTCCGGCATTAATACATTGATACTAACTAGGTCGATTGAAAAGGTACTGAGAATTTGTTTCAGATTAGTATTAAGTGTAATGGGACGAAATTGAATTGAGGAATGGATCAAGATGGCAACACCGCCGTAACCATCTTGTCGGTCAGAGCGGACTGAGGTAAAATTTGAAAGGTGAAAATTTCTATTTGGAAGTAACCAAGTTTCTGAGAGTAGAACAATTTGGCATTTATTTTGGTGGATAAGAAATGCAAGGTCTTGTGTTCTAGATAAGATACTTCTAATATTCCATTGCAAAATATTTAACATTTAGTTATTGTAGTAAAAGTAAAAAGAGAAAGGGAATAAGTAAATAAATGACAGATACATAAAAACCTTATGTTCATGTAAAATAATATATACATAAATAGGATATAAATAAGTAAATAAAAATATACAAGTGAAACAAGAGACAAGTGTACGTACATAAACATACGTGCGTGTATATATTGCATAAATACGCACATAGACAAAAGTATATACATAAAAAGTCATAAGGACAGTGAGTAAGAAAAAAAAAAAAATAATGATGATAAAATGTGATGAGATGTAGAAGTTACTGCAAACTGTTATTATATGATAAAGAAAGAAAGTTAAGGATGTGAGACTCAATTAATTGATTAAGGGTTGAGGGGGATGATAATGTAGAGGAAGGAATATTGTATACAGCTGTAGAGAGTTGATTAGCCAAAGAAGTGATCCAGGATTTCTCAGCAGGTTGAGCATAGGAGTTAGTGGACATGTATTCGAGAAACGAACCATTGGGAGAAGACCAATCATTACTTTTATTAGAGACAAAATTCGGGTTGATAGTTTGGACACTGTTTTTATTGCCATAATATTTATTTTTACTTTTTTTGGAGAATGATTGTGTCAAGCTTGGAAAAGATTCTATAGATATAGGGTTTTGAGGAGCACTGGCGTTATTTATAATATTTGTGTGGCGGTCGAATGTTCTAGAATGTTCGGCCGCCGCCGCTTCTAGAAGATTCGTCGCTCTACATAAGCGTGTGGCGGTCGAATGTTCTAGAGAGTTCCGCCGCCGCCTCTAGAAGATTCCTCTGACTATTTAAGGGCAAGATCGTCGCTCCAGTCAATCAATCGATCAGTCAATCACTTACGCATTCTGTCTAAAACGCGCTTCGTCTCTCGCTGTTATTTGTTAGTTCGTTGTAATATAGTATAGTTGTTATTAAATCGTAAAAGTGTTTATTACTTCTATATATTACACCTCGCTACATTTGCATTGCTTGAAACACTATTCGAAAAAGTTTTAGATTTATTAACAATGTTATTGTTAAATATAAAAATGGCATCGTTGTACGATATGTTTTCAACAGCCATGATTTTTTTAATCTCCTTTTGATGGGACCATTCAGGACATGAGCGATCTGTAGCCTCATGCGATCCTTTGCAATGTAAGCATGATGGGGTAGAGTTGTCTTTATTAGGGCAATCGGTGGCAATATGATCGTTAGCACCACAACAGGCACACCGTGTCTTACTTCTGCAAAATTTGGCTGTGTGTCCGTAGCGAAGACACTTATTACAGATAACAGGCGAACGGATGCTAGGAGAAACCATGAATATGATTTTAAATATTGATATTTTTTCCGGTAGTTTTGAAGAAAAGAACTTGAGTTCTACTAAATTAGTTTGGGTTGGGGTATTAGAATTACGTTTTGTAAATATGCGACGAAAACCACTAATAGGAACCGGCGATTCGATACCTTCCCAAAAATCCTCCTCTGTTGTTGAGGTATCCAGGTGGATGATACCGTGAGAGTAAATTAGAGTAGACGAGATTGAAGCTTTTACGTTTATACCAGGGAGAAGGTTAGAATTAAGGCAAGCATTGGCAGATTTGATAGAATCAAATAAAACTTTAATTCTGGATCCAATGGGAGTTATTTGTTTTATACCGCCGAATTTGTTGTGGAAAAGTTTCCCAATTTTTAGCGGGTGTAATTTGCCGATACTTTAGTCGCTAACAGTGGATTCAACAAGAATTACCGGAGTCCCGTAAAAATTGTTTGAAAAAGATTTTAGAATAGGATCTACACTCGAATTACTAGTAATTTTTTTTACGGTAGACAAATGTACTGTTTCAGAATCATTGTTTACCTTATTTGGCGTATTTGTGTTATATATATCAAGGTCGCTATTGTTATTCATAACATTATCGATGTCCATAGTATTAGAATTACTATCTGACGTTAGAGTAATGGCATCATTAAGATATGCCGTACTAGTTTCATTGTTATCGGCCGATTCGTTAATATTATACTGAAATTGTATGCTAGCTAGGAGTAATTGCGGTTGATTATCTAATAGGTATTGTAGATTCGGAGAAACCAGGCTGGTAGGAACCGTTATTAGGTGGACGGCCCGGTTCACCCGGTGAATTGGGCATACGGAAACTTAAAAAGAAAAAATTATGCGAGACTACTTATGTGAGTTAGAGAAATACAACTAAATACGATAGTACTATACGTATAAGGAAAACCGGACTCACAGGTGCGTAACAATAACACGACTTATCGCTACAATAGCTGAAGCCGAACTCATAAACTATTTATTATTAAAGAATAGAATTGATTCACGAATTTTTTAAAAAGTTATATCAACATAATGTTAAAAAATGTAAAATATAATATCAAGAATTTTTTCACAAAATAGTTTATTTTTCATACGGTAGGCATTTTTACCATGAAAACAAATCCAGAGATTAAATTTTTTTTTCCAAATTAAAGTGTATTACATAAGCTTTAATTTAAGGTATATATAAAAGTGTCAGTCTTTCCAGAAAATTTTCTAAAATTAAGTTGAAAAAGTTAATTTTTTGTGGAAAAGTTATCATTTTGAAACCCTTCCTGTGGGCTGGTAAAAGGTCAAATGTTCACAAAAATATATAAAATGATAGTTAAATACCTAAGGTATCTATAAAAATAAGTCATATTAATTTCTTCTTTTTAAAAAAATTATGGCAATTTTAAGTAACAAAAATTGAAAAAAATGTCGAAAATTAGCGATTTTTAAATTTGTAAGTTTTTGGGGGATTTCACCCGTTTACGAGGAACGAGGGAATTATTTTAAATTTTGAGGGTAATGTCTTTGACTAGATACGATTTGTGATCTTTTGACGTATTGTTAATCATAATCGGTCCAGCGAGAACTAAGATTGAGTGTTCACAGACACAAAAAAAAAAAAAATAAAAAACACATCAAAGTAAAATTAATGCCTTCTCAGCTTCGCATCGAAGCTAAAAACAGCGTGTGTTATGAGTACGCGCGTTTAAAATAAAACTTCTTTCTTTATGAAGATATCGCGTTTTAATTACATCTATCGTGGTTCTTTAAAAATTTTTTGGAGTACAATCAAAATTATTCGAAATTCAATTACTTAATACATTTTAAATAAAATTACTTTAATTTTCAAAAATACCGTACTAAATTATAATATAAAATATACTTTATAGTCGACTGTGGCCAATCAAGATGACGACCGTGATGCGATCGTCATGGTCAATAATCTGTTTTTTTGGACCCTCTATAAAGAAGTTTTACTTCAATTATAAAATAACGTTATAATATATATTTTATTATAACATTCTTTTATAATTGAAAATTTTTAAACGATAGAAGAAAAAATTTGTTTAACGCGACCACTGAATTAAATGAAATAATATTTTTCGTGTAGTTAAAAACATATCCTTATAATGTGAAATCTATTTTCTGTTAGAAATTTTATCAATATATTAATGTAATGCATTTTTCATACAATTTTAGATTAACACCTCCAGATAGTCTCATTGATTACCAAGAAGATATAAAAATATTATTTAATAACATTTTGAACTATGGAAAAGAATATATGCAGCACATAACTATTGTTTTTAATAAATTATTTATTAAATTTGAAGACATTTTAGAAAAGAAATTATATGAAAAAAGTAGTATTGTACGTATTTCTCAACTTATACACTGTAGGTTTGCTGAAATATTTCAAAATAATCACATAGCATTAATTGCTATTATTCGTATATGTAGTTATGAAAAGAAAAGATTTAATAAATCAAAGCTTATGCATTCTGTGAAAGTACTTTATTACTTAGTTATGGCATCTTTAAACATATTTAATATTATGGAAAACATTATGAAAGTACTAAGAATAGGATCATCTCGACCATATGCATCTAAAATAAAATGGAAATTAGAGACTCACATAATGGAATATAGAAATTATTACTTAAAAGAACAAACAAATATTTTGGATAAAAAAGATAATTTTTCTGAAAAATTGGCACTTTTATTTTTAAAAAATGTGATAAATTTTAGTATAAAAAAAAATCATAATGAATACAATATATTATTTAATACAACTAAGAGATATTGTCAAATAAATTCTAGTTTTTTTCCAAGTACTGAGGTCATGATAGAACATTATTTGAAATTACAGCCTTCGAATAAAAATGAACTGAGACATATTATCCAACCAATAGAAGAATTTATGATAAAATATAATGACAATATTATCAACCATGAGTTCAAAGTTCTTTATAATTCTTTTGATTATACAATATAAAAGATCACAGAATAAACCATTTTGTAAAAGTTTATCAATGTTACAATAATAAAATTAATATTTTTGTGTATAAGTGGCTGAGTTTTATATGTTGATTATTCAATTAATAACAGATATAAATAATATAAAAAGAATAATAACTTTGGTATAACATTTTTTCTGACAGAATAATTGTTTATGTTAGTTAATACTTATGTAGACCACTACTTTATTTAGACTTTTTATCACAGGGGTATAAGAATAATGTACTCTTTTGTAGTATCTAGTAATATCATAAAATTTCATTAAAGTATTCACACATTTCGTTAATATTTAGTAATGTACAACATCGACATGATTTTTAAATGAGATTCCGAAATCATACAACCTCGTAAGTGGGTCACTTTTTAAGTTTCCGTATGGTCACCCATCTCGGTATCAACAGCAAATAGCGCAGTTTAACATCAGCACTAAGTTGGTGACTGAATATTCCTTTAGGCCACATCAAGCTAGCAAAAATATTTCTTAATTGAAAATATTTTTCAACTGTATATACAAAGTAAGATATTTGGCTATTTTCTAAAAGTTATTTTTTTTAACTTAAAAGAAACAAATCTGTAGACAGATAAAAGGTTAGATTTCCAAAAAAATGTATGCAAAATAAAAGGAAATTATCTAAGGATTCAATATAAAAAAAAATTATTTTTCTTCGTACATTTTGAACATAGTTATGGCACTTTTAAGTATCAAAATATTAACACTTTAAGAGTGATTTTTACATATAAAATCCATTTTTTGTTCAATTCAACGGCCATTTCCCTATAGAAGAAAAGGTATCCGACAAATTTGCTGAGAAAGTATTAATTTTACTATGAAGTGTTTTTTATTTTTTTTTTTTTCTGTAAACGCTCAATCTCAGCTCTCGCTGGACCGATTATGATTAACAATACGTAAAAAAAACACAAATCTTATCTAATTAAAGACATTACCCTCAAAAATTAAAAAAATACCCTCGTTTCCCGTATACAGGGGAAATCCCTCAAAAAATTACAAATTTAAAATCGCTAATATTCAATATTTTTTCCAATTTTTTTACTTAAAACTACCATACTTTAAATTAAAGCTTATGTAATATACTTTAATTTGAAAAAAAAAATTTGACCTCTGGACTTGTCTTCATGGTGAAAATGACTACCGTATGCAAATATATGCTATTTTTGTGAAAAAATTCTTTATATTATATTTTACATTTTTTTAAGTTATGTTACTATAACTTTTTAATGAATGCATGAGTCAATTATATTCTTTTATGATGAATACTTTATATATACCTCTTTCATTCGACATACTTTTTTTTTAAATCGGACCATTTCCGTTTATACAGGGGAGGTTCAAACCCTTAAAAAAGCGTATGGAAAGTAGAACTTTTTCAACTTAACTTTTAAAAATGTTCCGGAAATACTGATACTTTTATATATATTTTAAATTAAAGCTTATGTAATATAATTTAATTTGAACTCTATTTTAACTCTATTTGTGTGTATACTACCAGTCATTAATATTTCATTTATTTTGGTAAAATGTTGCTATATAAATCATTCCTATAAAAAATATTTTTGTTTTCCTGAATTTAACAAAACAGTTTTACAGTTATAATAAAATTTTTGAACACCAAAAGTTACTTAGAAATGATTTCTATTTAAGGGTTCTATTACAATAAAAATGCAAAAAATATTGAGCTTTTCTAATCAACTTACAATTAATAGTAATTATACAATTTCCTGAATGGATATTAATCTTAACACTACTATTTTTTTAATTCTCATTAAATTTTCAATTTAATAATCTAAATTTCAATATTGAAGTTAAGTTAAAAGTCATTGTAACAAATTCAACTTTTTTTTATTATAATCTTACAAAAAATAAACTTTAAAAGATCAAAAAAAAAAGTTAAAAATGATATTTCGCACTGATTATTTTTAACATATTAAAAATCATAACATGTACATGTAATACAATTTTTTTCTGTTTTTAATTATTTTTTTATCTTACTATATCATATAAAAAAAATTAATTACTTCTATGTAACTCTTGGTATTTAAATAGATGATACAATTGAAATTTACAAAACTATTTTCCTTATAGTTATATCCTTTAGTTTTTAGCTTTAAATTAGCACGAAAAATTGAATAATAAAATTATATTTTTGACTCTGATGAAATATTTTTGCAGATCATTTTTTCATAATTTACAACAAATTATTATCTATAAAGTTTTGTGTCAAGCCCTTCAATTTTTATTAGTTAATAGTATTTTACTATGTGTTTTTTTCTTTGTGGCTGCAATTTATTTTTCAATCCCTCACTTAATCTACTTTTTTCAACGATACGTCGAATGATTACAATTCGTATTTAATTGAAAATATTATCCTTAAAAATTGAAAAAAAATTCCTTAATCATATAAATAGTAGCTTAATCAGTTTTATCCATTCAAATAATTAAAATCATTCATTTCTAACATTATTAAAGTATTTATTGCCGAATTAGATTTGATATGATAAAAGTATTCAACTACGAAATTAAATCATTTTACTTTGTAATTTATTAATTTTTTTACTCTATTTGTGTGTGCTACAACTAATCTATAATATTCCAATTTTTTTGATAACATGTTGCTATATAAATCATTTTTAAAAAAAATAATTGTTAGTTTCCCCTGAATTAACAATGGATTATTACAATAATAATCAAATTTTATAATACGCTCTATTGAGTAGATCTTTTTAACAACTTTTGTTTTATTAGTTTTTTTAGTTAAAGTAAATTATTAAAATTCATTCAGATCATATTTCAATTGTAGAATATTTTTAAACGCCAAAAGTTACTTAGAAATGATTACTATTATTTCTATTTAAGTAATCTATTATGATAATAGAAAATAGAAAAAAGTATTGAGTTTTTTTGATAAATTTACTATAAGTAGTAAATTTTGTTTCTGATGAAAGTTCATTATAGTCCAGTGTATAAAACTTATAACTTTGTTATAAATAACAAAAAAATTTTATTAAAAAGTATTACATCAAGCCCTTTAAATTTTTATACGCGTTTGTATATGCAATAACTTTATTATTTTTATAATATCTCCGCAAAAATTATAATATTAAATTATTGAATCACAATTGCATACTAAATTTAATTACTATAATTATTATTTATTTATATATTATACCTTTAAATCAAAGAACCACTTAATCTATACTTACAATTATTGTAAGTATAGATTATCAAAAATTATTTTGAAACACGTTTACCATAGATTTATGGAATATATAAATAATTATAATTTTCCGTAAAAATTATGATATTAAATTATTTAATATCAATTTCATACTAATATTTAATTGCAATAATAATTATTTTTCGTATATTACACTTATAAATCATAAAATTGTAATCGAGATATAAATGAGAAGATAGGAATTTATGTTGCTTTTGGAATAATTCAATAATCTCTTTTAAAAATTAAACACTATAGATTTGCATGGAAGTGTTTTTAATAATAGTAATTTTAATTACTTTTAGACATCATTTATATTTATTCCAACTATGTTGCATTTCTACTGTGATGGTCTTTTACTATTTATCACTAATAAAAAAATAAATAAAAATATTAAAAAAAAAAATTAACTTTTTCAAAATGTAGAAATAGAAATTTTGTAGCCCCTATCTTACATACAATTTTAAATCAATAATAATTTTAGGATTCTAGTGCTCATTGAGTTACAAGAATTTTAATATATTGAGTGGGTACGTAGTGAGGAGGCTGTAACTTGTACTGGTGTACGTATACTCCTCATGCGATTCATAATTTTTTTCCAAATTTTTTTTTTCTTATTAATATAAGAAAGCAATAATTATAAAAAAATTTCAACAAAATAATTATTGTAACAAAAATTAGAAATATTGTCACTTAGATATAAGACACTCTGTATATATTTATAAATGTATTAGACATAAAAAAAATATACTGCTTATAAATAAGCAATTTGTCTGTAAACAATGCTCCAAAATTCACATTTACAAATTCACAAATCTATTTTAATTATGTAAATGTAAGCGAAGTAAAAAACCTTTTAAAATTTAAAGTAACTGTTATATTAAGTATCTATAAAAATAGTCTTTAATTTTAAAGAACAAAAAATGTCTTAAATCTAATTTAGAATATTTACAGATATATCCATGTCTTTAGAGTTAAGATTTCAACTGATGATATGTTTTATACTTTAAGCAAAAAACTAAAGACATGGAGGGGCTCCGTATTTATACGGAAGAAAAAATTGGCGCAACATAAATTTTTCGGGAAAAATATCACCAGGACGTATATAACTGGTACTTTATAATTGCGGAAACGTTAAAAGTCAGACTGTAGAATTCAGAATCGTAGAATCCCAGACCCTATAAGTTCGGAAAATAAAATGCCTGACCGTAAATTATCGGACTGCTAAAATTTAGAAAGTAGAACGCCGGACTGTAGAAATCCGGAAAATATTGTTAGTTTTTCTCTATTTGCTCTCTAATTCCATATTGTTTTATTTCGTGAATACCTACTGAAGCTTATTGATTTGGAATAAAATTGCAGCAAGGCAATATTATTATTAATTAGAATATTAACTATCGTGTATTTAAATTAATATTGTATAGTCCTAAAAATTGGGATATATTTTACGTTCCGTTAATCTACGGTTTACAATTTTTCTTTTCATTCTTAATGTGGATCAGCATTGTACTTTCTGTCGTTCTAAATATTTGGTCAGAAATATTATTTTTCGTTATTATACATTCAGATAATGTTTATCCATAATTATTTAATCCCCCCTACACGCACAGAGTCAGAGTCAGAGTTTTTAACTAAAATTTCTTATATACATAATGTAATGTATAATTTTTTTATAATTCTAAAAGTTATTCTATAAACATTTTTATTCATTATTGTTAAAATAACTTTAGAAAAAAAATATATCAAGGTGACTTTTACACAAAGAGTT